CATGAACATGTAAGGTTTAATAACTTTTTCAAAGTTGATCTGATTTTATTTTGTTGTTTTGACTGATTTATGATTTATTCTCCCACAAAACAAATTTGCCAGCAATTAACCAACCACAAGAAAGAAACATTGTTACTTTCCCACACGTTGTCACCACGTCCTTATATATCTCTCTCACAACAACAAAAGGGTTTTAAAAGTCAAAGAGGATCCAGATTAATGCCTCTTTCTCATCTTGCACAGGTTCCAGAAATTGACGAGCTTGAGAGGTCAATGCATGCATTGTTAAAGAATCGAGCCAGTAGTCTGGTGCAGAGAAGACAACTGGACGTCAATGATCAGGCAGAAGATTTCTTAAATGCTCAAGCTGGTGAGTGACTGTTTTTGTATGTTACTTACACTATTCGCCCCCGAACTGATAGGAAAGTTCTTTGGGTGCAGATCCATGTCCATTGTACCAATTTGTTATGTTGTCAGGTTTAATAGTCAAGGACAACTTTGTCTTCTAACTTGTGCATGGGGAAGAGATCCCTTGTCACCTAAAGACAAGAGATAAGTCACGTTAAGTCACAAGGGACCGTTGTCAACTTTTCCCTAGAATCCCAGTTTTGATTTACTTCATAAGATCTAAGTTGGTCAAATACATGTATCAAATGCTTTCATCCCTTTGAAATCCTATACATTATCCCTAGGTAAGTTTTTTTCCCTTCGTCTTTCCCCTGAAAGAGCCAAACAGAATGTGACGTCAGGGTGTATTGTTTACATTTTTTATCTCATCTAACAGGAAGACAAAGTCAAAGTTCATCTAAACCCTCTGATCAGAACAAGATGAGACGTGCTGCTGAGAGAGAAGGAAGAAGAGCACGTAGGAGGAAACATAGAGAAAAAGAGAAAAAAACATCCCAACCTGATACTCATCATGAAGGACAGTCTACTGATGATGAAGAAACTGAAACAGATGCTGTCAAATTCAGGGCAGAAACAAGTAATTTTTTGTGTTACTACTTTCAGGCTAGGTCAAGATTCCCACAACATCCCATTAATGAATCAATTATCTAAAAATTGCATCTGTTAGTAGTTGTAAATTTCAGATTCATCTATGTATTTAAAGTGATTTCTCACACAAGGTAGTTTTGAATCTTCTACCGGCTCAGTTTTCTTGAATTTGATATGTCTTCAAAGCAATGTTATTCATGAAGCATGTAGCCAAAAATCTCCGCTCATTGCACAGGTAGGGATGCAGAAGTGAATTGGATACTGGTCGCTACATGCACGTTAATTCAAGCTGAATTAATAATTTTTATTGGTTGATTTTATAGTTTTACTGTTCTTTACCATATTTTTCTTAGTGTATACTACTACATGAGAAATTTCTGCAATTTGATTGGCTTAGAACAGTGGTTTTTCAGCTTAATTTGAAATACCTATATGTGAACACTACAAACCTTTTGTGGGTAGTAATATAAACAAATAATTGCATGATTTGTACGTGATATTTGGCGTAAATACCACTCGTGATATTTCAAAATAATAGCATAATTTGTATGTGATATTTGGGGTAAATACCAGCCTAACAGCTCATGAAATTACCTATAACAATTTTGAAATATCACTTGTGGTATTTATGCCAAATATCACTACAAATCATGCTATTACCTTTACAAATATAATCATCTGTCACTTTTGTTTCTTCTACCTTTCTGTAGAGAGAATAACGTCAGAAGAGAAGGCCATTTTTGAAGATGTCATTGAGGACTTCAGCTCAATCGACTCTATAAAGTCAAGATTTGAAGAATGGAAGAACAAACATGAAGACTGTTATACGAATGCATATATTTCACTTTGTCTTCCTAAACTGTTTGCTCCATTTATTAGACTTCAACTTTTGGACTGGAATCCATTCGAGGTACAACTGATACCTTTTTTATGAACATTGTGAGCAAATGGATGTGGAACTGAACTTGACAAGAACTTTGTGTGTGTTGCTGATGCACACCATGGAAATGAATGCATAGTTCACTTTTGAAGGTTTCTGCTCTATAGTGTACCTGCATTCTACTAAATTGTTTTAACCCTTTCACTCCCAGAAGGAGCCAAATTCAAAATCTGAAAAGAANTCAGAAGAGAAGGCCATTTTTGAAGATGTCATTGAGGACTTCAGCTCAATCGACTCTATAAAGTCAAGATTTGAAGAATGGAAGAACAAACATGAAGACTGTTATACGAATGCATATATTTCACTTTGTCTTCCTAAACTGTTTGCTCCATTTATTAGACTTCAACTTTTGGACTGGAATCCATTCGAGGTACAACTGATACCTTTTTTATGAACATTGTGAGCAAATGGATGTGGAACTGAACTTGACAAGAACTTTGTGTGTGTTGCTGATGCACACCATGGAAATGAATGCATAGTTCACTTTTGAAGGTTTCTGCTCTATAGTGTACCTGCATTCTACTAAATTGTTTTAACCCTTTCACTCCCAGAAGGAGCCAAATTCAAAATCTGAAAAGAATTGAAAATTTATTTGCTAATGTGTTGAAAAGCAAAATAATAGTACAGCACGAAGGGGCTGCAAAAGATGTATCATTTGAATGGTCACATAGCAACATAGCAGGATTTTGTCCAGAGAATTAAGAAATAGAATCACTTTGCAATTCTCAATCATTCATGCTGGTAGTGAAAAATGTAACCTAGTTTTCATCAAATGTTGAATCATTTCTAGTCTGTAGACCTTTTAATTCTCGGTGAGGTCTAAAACTGTGACTATGTTTCAATGGAAAGCATCAGACTTTGTTTTAGTGGGGAAAAAGCTAAAATTTTATCTTTTTGGAAAAACCTTTGTGGCTGAGTTTGGGTTCAATGTTTTCATGACAAATGTCCCAAATGTCCTTGTGCAGGCAGCCTCAAATCATGCTTTTAAAATTAGCATTCTTTGCTGTTTCAGTTTAAAGGAGTGTGAAAAATGGACCATTTGGGGACAAATGAAAGTATTTAACAATCCTTTGCAGTTATTACTTCACTGTGTGCGTGATAATGTGGCAAATTTAAGGCAGCTTTTTTTGTATACTGTGTCAAGATGAATAGAATTCTCTTTCTGCTATCTCAATTTTCAAGTAGAAGGAGATATAGTTGTAAAGTTTATTTTTTAAAACCTTTTTCTTTCTCTTTTTAGGCCAAGAGCATGGAAATTGAAGAATTCCGCTGGTATAAAAGTCTTGTATTGTTTGGCTGTGGAGATGATCCATACGATATTGATGTTGAAGATCCTGATGTCAAACTGATTCCAGCTGTGTTAGAGAAGACTCTTATTCCAAAACTAGTTGGTGAGTATAAGCAGTACCATTTTATTGTATGTCATGTTGCTGAAGCTTGATTACAAGGAAGGTTGTGAGTAGAGCAGCCTTTCTCTTTTGTAAAGCAGGCTCTGCTTCGGGCAGCATGAGACCCTTCTTGCTACAAACTCCAATGCCTTTGTTCTGACCTTTGACTGGGTTTTGATCTGCTGCATACTGAAAGATAGCTTTCAGGGCTTTCACTAAAGGCAAGGGGTTAGGGATTTCCCACGGCTACTAAGAGTATGACTGCCCGCTAATTTCATAGGAAACAAGGAAATTACACCCAAAAGAATTTTGTAGCTGTTTAGTTCCCGCCAACTAATTACATTTATATACTGTCACTGTAGCTGACAACTTAAAATCTTGGTGACAGCCCTGGCTTTCAACTATGATCAACATGTACCATTAGGGTGTTTCATTTCAACCAATTAGAAGAACTGTACTCAGATTTTGGTAGAGACATTTTGGAGAGGTTTAGAATCGTGTTTTCAGCAAACAACAAATGTCAGATTCAATTTTGCAATTTCTTAAAATTGGAAATGAGGAGATAAGCTTGCTACAAGTAGACCTCATAAGTTCTTAGTGAGCGAAGCGAGCAAGAAAAATCAAGTGAAGTCAGGAATAACCAACCAGGAAAAAAATTTTAAAGGTCTTTTAGAAAGTCTAATAAAATATTGTACTTAAACTAATTGTGATGAATGAAACTGGCATGAAATGATATTACTAATGATTTTTTGTGGGTATAATGAACCGCAAACAACAAGTAGAAGGAAAACTTGGCCACATGGTACAAATTGACATTTGTTGTTGGCTGTAAACGTGATTCTAAATCTATCTGTTATCAGTTTTGGATGGGAAAGAGTTAAATGTAATGCCAGGCGGTGAGGGGCTACTCTCCTTGAGATGACTTCTCCAATGAACTAACTGTTGTGGATGCCAGGGTGTTGATTCTACTCTTTTCATATTTTTATACAGGTCTTTTTGAACACGTGTGGGATCCATTATCCCAGAAACAGACGACACTAGCCATTAAATTAATAAGAGGAATGGCTGAGGTGTATCCTAACTTCCAGGCTCAAAACAAGACAACACAGGTAAAAAATATTGATCGTCAAAATAGATTATCGGTGTTCGTTTGCACTTGTCTTTCATCTGTAAACAGTGATGCACCTGTAGTTTGGTTTGGCCCTATTAACAAGGTAAATTAAAAGAGAAATATACATGTTGGGATTATATAATATGCCATATAGAGCTGTAAGACATGCTAAACGGTTTTCTTATAAGAAAATGTATGGGCCATTTTTTGGAACAAATCAATGTGACCCTAATGACGAGGTGGCTGTATAAATGAGGTGGAACAGCAGGGTTCCACTGTATCAATCACTACTGTTAACGAATGATATGTAGGATATTTTATATGTCTTAGTTTAGGGAGACAGCATTAATCCTTTCCCAGGCTTCTGATCTGAAAAGATTTTGAGGTGTTATACTGTATTAACCTCAGAAACATACTCTTGTGAAGATAATTCTGATTTTTATTTGCTGACTTTATTAATTTTAATTGTCATACCATGCAAGTACTTTCAATTTATTTCTTGTTGATACTTTCTTCTACAGTCGCTGTTTGCCGCAATAACTACTCGTATGCGGCGATGTGTTAGCGATGATGTATATGTTCCTCTGTATCCAAAAAGGTAATAATTATTATTTTTCTTTTATCCTGCAAGCTCCAGAGGTAATAGGCTGCCAACAACTCTCCATTTCCCTCTTAGGACACAGAGCAACTAAGCATTGTATGAGGTCTTAAAAAATGCTTGAGGACGAAGAATGTCTAAAATAATGTGTCTTAACAAAAAGGAAGAAGGAAGTCTTCATTGTTAGGTACATTTCTCATTGTTTCCATCCTCTTCCCTTGTATTTTTGGCAGTTTACTGGATAATAAGGCTTCTGGTGCTCTGCCCTTCTTTCAGAGACAATTCTGGAGTTGTGTGAAGGTATTTACTTTAAACACTGTAAGGCAACGCTAAGCAAGGTTTTCAGTGAAGGTCAAGCTTCACAATGGCCTTTTGTATGTTAGCCTGCGTGGCAGGCGTTCGAAACGGAAGGGGAAGGGAATTAGAGCTCGAGAACGCCTGCCACGCAGGCTATTTGTGCGTTTGTGATAGGCCTTTTGCAATAGTTGGTCACGTGATCAACTTTCTGTTTAAACCCGCAAATAGTTTGCTTTTCGAAAATTTTGTGAGCGGAAACAGCACATTGCAAACTAGGTAGCTTGAGAATTTTCAGCCGTATATTTCAAGAGTAGCGAATGCAATGGCCACCGAAATTTGGAAGGATTTGTATAGGGAAAACAACACAAATCCTTGTAAAATTTTGAATTTCTGTCCTTTTATCTTTCACTTATGTCTTAAAAGGGCTTAAATTATCTGTTATGAAAAAAAAGGAAAATTTGAACTTTGTAATGCTTAAGGAAATATTTTACGACCGTTTAAAAATTTCGAAATTTTAAAGGATTGGTATGGAAAACTAGGAAAGTTGGTCTAGGAGAACCGAAAACGACTGTTATGGGTCGATAAGTTACCACGTGACCTTATATTCAGCGGGAACAACGCTCGCTGAATTTTTTCAGATGCAGGATAACACTGGTCACGTGGTCTTTAGTCAGTCAGTGAGAGTCCAAGTCAGGTATCGGAAATTTACAGGTAAATAAAAGAATAAATTTCAATTTGATTAGAATTTTTTAAGCGTAAGCAAAAACAGTTCTGAGAGATTTCTTTCGTTTAGCTCCTTGCGTTTCTTTTTGAATTCTTTTGCAGTTGTTAGGTAACATTCTTAAGTGGGAGGGACTTATTTCATCCGCTAGACTTCAAGAAATGGCGGTAGATGGACTGCTGAACAGATACCTGTTGTTAGCTCTGCAACACTCACATCTTTACTACGACAGCCTGGAGAAGGCAAAGGCGGTAAGAATATAGCTTTTACCTGTTGTCTTGCAATATCGGGTTAAACAACGTTGAATTCAGCTCAAAAGTAGACAGATGTACAGTGGAACCTCGATACAACGAAGGGCCAAGAGTTCGCTTTAACGAGGTTTCGTTATATCGAGGTTCCTTTTCAGATATTTTACTATTGCTGGGGTAAAGCAAGTCGTACGTTGTACCGAGGAGATTCGTTATATCAATGTTCCACAAGTGTACTTATTTACGAGTCGTTGGCTAATAAATGTCGTAGCTGTGATAACGCTCCTTCGTAGACTTATTGTATAAGACGAAGAAGTACCGTGTAATTTGGCTTTAAGAGAATCGTTTAGGATATTTAGGCTCAGTACCTTCTCGAAGTTTCAAGACGTTAGACCCCTTAAGGAATAAGATTTTTTGTGATTCTGTTTCAGATTACAGCCTCGTTTCCAAAACAATGGTTTAACGATCAACAACAGACAACATTATCTTCGTTAGAGGCATTTGCGCGCTATCTCGCTACGTTAGCAACCAGTATGCAGCGCTCAAGTGCTGGATGTCCAGAAGCCGAAAGAAAGAAAGCCAGGTAACTTTTTGACAACTTTAGTAATTTTGGTAGAGACCTTTAGATTCTAAAACGAAGACGACTATGAGAATATGAGATGCTTAGTGGTGCGCGAGCATGAACATGCGTCATTAGGGAGTTCATGGATATTATTATTATTCATTCAAAATATTTCCCCGATTCTGATTGGCTAAAAGCACTTGCATAATTCACCATAACCAGTAGCTGATGACCACATTTGGAAGAATTTTGTGTTTAACGAGGAAATGACGTCAAAAATGCAGAAACCGTTAACCGAGAAAACCTAGGGACGAGGTTGAGTTGTTTTGGTTGTGGAGACTAAAATGGCGGACATTTCACTCGTTTCAAGAGTAAGAACTAGGCGAAATAATAGCTTAAAACATGGCAAGAACAGCAAGAAGACAACTCGAAGGGCGACATCTGCTGTTTGGAGAATATTTGCGGAGCTGAACAACCCTGAACGTGCACTATCGAAGATGAACTTAACATCGATGGAGGTAAGCATGTTTTGGTCACGTTTTTAAACTAAGAATTATTTTGAATGAATAATAAAACAATTATTGAATTCGGCTTTCATATTATATGAAGAATTATGGAGATCTCGAAGGGTGTTATCCGCCTCGGCCTACGGCTTCGACGGATAACACCTTTCTCGATCTCCATAAATTCTTCATAAGATACTCAGCCTCATTCATTAATTGTTATGGGGAGTTTAAGCAACGACGTTTGTGAGCAACGCACGTCAACCGGAAGTGGACTTTTTGCACTCTAGAGCCGTGCTATTGAACATTTATTTGGTCAAATCGTCTCCATGACAGTTAAGACACTTAGCCATACAAATTTGGTAGTTTGAAGGCATGAGAACTCCCCATGTAGTAGCTATCGTCAATCTACTAGGGGTTTAGGTTAAAATCTTGTAGTGAAGGAAGCAAGTTATTATACATGTCGGTTAGAAGTTTTATCATTTTGCGATCGGGAGAGGCCTAGCTTAACCCTCTTCAATAAAAATAAGCGTTTTAATTTTTCTAGCGAACAAAGTAAAATGAAGCCTTCCGCGGCGTTGTTTATTTTTTTGATATTACGCAAATCAACTTTGGTAACTTCTGAGGATAAAAGAGTTAAATTCCACCTTAATCTTGTTTTGCTTCGAATAAACCAAGTTGAAGTACCTCGAATAGTTACTGAATAGGCCCTTTGATCATATGCTTAGATACCACTTAGCAACGTCTCGCTGAATGGCAAGCCATCTGAGCGTTTATTCCGATCAGAAAGGTTTGAGTGCTATCCAGCGAAAAAATTCTAGTTGAATAACTCTGCCGAAAATTACCCAAACTGACTGCACTAGAAGACTTGAAAGACGTTTGAATTTACCTAGGGAGGCTTTGCCCGATGGCTCTGAATGAGACTTGTCATCCAGCAAGCTGATCCTAAGTGGTATCGGCCAAGGATATTAGCAAGTTCTGCAAAGGTCCTATTCTGTTTTTGTATTCGATCGCTAATGAAAGCATGCAAAGTATTATTTTAAGCATTCCGTATTTTGATTTTACCATATGTATTTCTTGATGTTTCTCCTAGGAGTGGCATCAAGAAAGTTGTTCAACTTCTACTTCAGCTAAGATCTATGGACAAAGCTAGGCTAGTAGCGGTAGAACATAACATGGACGAACTTGTGAAAGACCTTTGATATCTCCTGAGGTCATTTCATGCCTGAAACTGCGCTGTACCATGAAGCCGTCAGCAGCTGTGTATCGGCCGATGATCGTTTTTAGCATTCTTTTTCCAAGGACTTTTTTCATGATAATTACATGTTTTTCATTTTGACACGTATGACCAAAAATATATGCTATGTTGGACAATGTTAGTGGCTGCTATCATGAACTAATGGTTGCCGAGAAAATATTCAAAAAGGGATGTAAAAATCACAAATGTCTTCGGAAAAAAAATCATCATGTACTTGCGGAAGACTATTTTCCTCAATTTCATAAAAGGAGTGACTATGATGATTACTTCTATGGCGGAATTTACCAAAAACTCCCCTTTTGTAGAAAATAATAATAAAAATAATAAACACGCTAACGTTACCCAAATTTTCAACTGATTACGACTTAAACTTGACAGTTCACTTTTTATGAAATATTTCCTTTGAAACTGAAAAAGTGAAAATGTCGATGCTCGCGATGTCCAAGGTAACGTAAACACTTACTCGAGTTTGACTTTACTTGATGGTGAAGTGGTTAAGTTGCCAACAGATAGCGTTCTTCACGAGGGAGGTTGTTGAGAAGTTTTTGCTCTGGTGCATGATCAACTCGGATGATAGTTGGAAGTGCGCAAACACTTTTGTAAATCAACTCTTTATTGACTAAAAGAATATTTATTCCAGATCATTACTTGTGCTCTTGTTTCATAATTCCTCCGGATAAAAAGTGCTGTCAATTGTAAATTAAATAGTTAGACTACTTGTAACATTTAAAGAGTTCTTTAAGAATTTATTAAAGATCTTTCTTGGCTTTCGGTATCGTGCGGAAAAACGCTCTCTATTTTCGAGTGCCGCCAGCCTAGCTCATCAAGCATGCTAGTGACACTTGCTTCGCGTCTGTAGTTGTTACAAGCAAAGCGGGCAGCTCTTCTTTGTACCATTTCAATTTTATTTTGGTTCTCTTGGGTGAAAGGATCCCATATAGTAGACGCATACTCGATTTGTGGTCGAACAAGAGTCTTGTATGCATTAGCTTTGATGTGTTTCTGGTTAATTTGTAGGTTTCGTCGGAGAAAACGTATGGATGAATTAGCTTTCTTAACTGTACAGCATATATGTTCGTTCCAAGACAACTTATGGTGTGCAGTGACGCCAAGATATTTAACTATATCTTTTTCCTTAAGAATCTGGTTGTGTAGGATGTTGTGTTGATGTTGTTAAGCTTGTCGCTTCGCTTCATTTTCTACTCTTTCTCAGCCTAGTCTCCAGGGGTTCTCGCCTCGATCAATCCTGGACTCTACTGTGAGCTGTGACGTCACCGAGAGAGACTCTCTCTCTCTCGCCCGCTTTGCGTGGACAACGGGTCAAGAAGGAACGCCTCAACCTTAAAAGTGACCGCGGTGTGGGGAACGCCTAGGGACTAGGCTGACTCGTCTTCATTTTCCCTGTTCTTTTCGTT